AATCTGTATTTCTACAGCTCAGCTAATCACTTGCATGATATGAAATCAGGCTTGAATTGCACTTGTGAGTTCATCTTGACTTGACAGTAATTGTATGATGATTGAGAAGAAGCTTTAATTAACTGTGAAGTTCATTCTCTACAGCACACACCTACAAATTTAATCTACACAAGCAGGTCTGTATAAGATAAAGCCATGATAGCTCTCAAAATATACAGTTTTTTTATGTGTCAAACAATTTCCTTTTGTTTCAGAGTTAATTCAATTCTAACGTTGTGATAATAAAAAAAAAATAATAATAATAATAATAATAATAATGATAATCTTAAATGTATAACAATCTCGCATTTCATGTCCTCAGATTATCTGGTGGGTATTTAATGAAGCTCATTTGTGTAATGTTGGATGTTCATGCAGTGGGGTGCAGCAGAAACTCTGGTGACCCTGTAGACATGACGGAAACCACTCAGGACTCCTTCAAAGCTGAAAGACCCCATGTTACCAAGACAACTGAATTGTTAGCCTCATTACATGCCACTTCAGTCTCATCAACTCCTTCTCAGGTATTCTGCCCACACTGTGGTGTGACGCAACATTTGAGACAACCCTGTTTACTTCGCTACTTATATTTAATATGTTTGCAATCTTATGTTGTGAATCAAATTTGAATTCTTGAGATCTGAAAATTAAGGCATTCTACTTTTAAGAACATTTTAAACAACTTCTCAACCTTTTTTTGGAATGGGCTTGTAAATCATGTATGGATTCAGGTTGACCATCCCCTGTAACATTATTGCATGAGCTTGCGCAGATCCTTATTTTCTAGGTTTAAATAAAACGTCTACAACTTCACAATTTCTCAGGTAAAACGTAGTTTTGGGAATTCGCCTGGAGTGAAGTGATATGTGTTGTCATTATTACATACACACCCAATGATGAAACTTCTCCTCTTATGGAGATAAAAGTCTCAAAAAGATTTAAACCCACACAACAACAAGATTTGAGCAAGCAAGCTGGTGAAAAGGTGGGTCATCTGAGATTTACCAGATTTGCTGGGTTGTTGGGAAAAGACATTTCTGACTTGGCACAAAAGCTCATAAACCCTATATTTAAATGCACATGCTTACATTCTCACTGAGTTCCAAAAACGGTACATTTTGTGGACAGTACATTTTCCTGATAGTTTTTTTTCACAGAAAACCCATTTAAAGAAATTTATTTTAGCTCTTCAGTCCACAAAATTAACATTTTCTAATTGTAGGAAAACTACCAAAAAAATATCATTTTGGGTGTATTCACACCAGGAAAGTCTTTTGGTCCACTTGTTTGAACAAAAGCAGACTTTAATATTTTAATTCGTGCAGTTTGCATTTACATTGTGCTTTTTTGCAAGTGGACTATAATTGATAAACAAAGGTGACGATCAATGGGCCTCATGTAAGAACATGTTCGTATTTTTATCCTAAAATTTTCTTACTTTTGTTCATATGAAGGGTTCGTACGAACATGCCACGTCAGATTCAACAAACTCTTCTATCTTCAGGAAAAGTGTGTAAATGAGCTGCGTAAACTGATGAATGTGTATCAGGTGCTCGTGCACGAGGAGAGGAGAT